ATTATGAAGATCATTATAGGCTGTAGTCAAACGAAAAGCATCATTTTCAGTAAAAAAAATCATCATTTCGCCTGGATGAATACGTCTGTATTTGCTATACAGTGGGAGTATGATCTTAACTTATTTATCTGAAGACTGCAAAAAATAATATATGAAATTAAAAAGCTGAAAAGGAAGATCAAATTGGTCACATCTAACAGTTCCTGACTTGTAATACTTCCCTTTTTCATGTAAAGATAGGATTGTAATATGACTAGTAGAATATAACACTCCATACCTTCTACCGGTTATACATGTACGTGACTTGACGAATTAAAATCACTATGCTTTAAATCAGGGATCCACTGAGATGGGGCTGTCTTAATAGTCCACAATGAAATGTTGAGAGAGGATTGCTCTGAGTGGTTATGAGCTGATCGATAAACTTAGAAAATGAATGAAAAATGTATGCTAAGTGCAAGATTCAAACGTGCGTGACCATTCACCTAGGTGTGTTACTCTTGATTTAAAATTTACGCCTTGATCACGCTTGATCATACTTTTAGTTACTCGTTTGTCAACGTATAATATAACAGTGTTGGCTTTATTACGGCAAGTCAGTTTCATTCTAAATCATCAGTTATTTCACTCTGCCCGTTCACGTTTATAGGAGGAAATATCTGTAAGTCGTTGGTCATTTTTTTTCGTTTTTATTCTAGTGGTCAATTTCCTTAGATTTATTACAATTATAGCCGTGATTTTTCCTTTTTAGTCGAGTTATCATTTTCATCATCATCTTCAACGTAATCGGATGCGTTCAATTTACTCATTTGAATGTGAACGTAGAATAATTTTTCTCTTTATAAAAATCATCTCCCTGTCGAATGCTTGACCAACATCGCTCAATGCCTAAAAGGGAACTCCCCCCTTTTGTTCCCCCCTGAAAACTAGGTAATCCCCAGAAAATCCTCCGACCCCACCCCAGGCGATGACTAACGATTGGTTTCTGAGAGATCTGCTCTGTTCACATCTGAAAGGCGATAATTTCTGATATAGAGTCAAACTGTTTTGACAAAGAAATACTAGGTCCCACATGAATAAATGTTTTTTTTATTTTTTTTTTTTCTGATACTATTTGAAAATTCTTTCCGCTTGTCTGATACACAGATTTTGAAGGTGTAATGAGGAAACATCCTGTGGATCATTACAAAAGAAAGAAAAGAAGTAATGCTCTAAGTCCAACCGTAGGAACAATACATTTACAACAAGTTCGCAAGGAAATAAATAACAAGCTCAGTGAAGTTTGTAAATCCTCCAACAGTATATGCCAGGCAGGACCTCCAGGACCACCAGGAGCCCTTGGATATCCCGGATATAAGGGAGAGAAAGGGGCCCCTGGAAAGGAAGGACCACCAGGCCCATCGGGGCCTATCGGGGCTCAAGGCTTGGGTGGCATAAGAGGACCTGTGGTAAATCAGTTCGTTGTTCAAGAAAGAAAGGGCTGCAGCTCATCTTAGACTATTGTCCGTTTCTGCGAAACTTTATCTGCGATTTCAATTCCCTCTGGCCAACAACTGGTGGATTTCCTCCGACCTCCGGTGGGGAACAAGAACAAAATATGAAATAAGAAAAAGTACAAAAAAAATTTATTATTCGGCTTCTATTATGCATGCGAGTTATACCAAAGCCAGCAGGACCATAAAAAATGTCAAAAGTCTTAAGTTACCTAACACCGCCTAACAGAGGAAGCATCCTAAGAAGGGGCACTAGCCTACGTAGCCAGCGGTTTTGTGTTCATTTACCGAGTGCGCTAAAGCGATGGGCGACGAATCCGCGAGAGGCTTGGAAAGAGATACAGTTTTGAAACTGTATGCTGAAATTGGGGTGGATCTTTAGTTTTTTCATTTCAACGCCTGACGAAAAATTTATATTCGCTGTGAAAGCTAATATGTTAATCAAATGTTAGGGTGATCTCAAAAGGGAGTTAAAAGGGACCCTTAAGAATAATTTTTGCGAATTTAGGATATGTCAATAGCGAACCTAAACAAAAAAGGGGTGGATAAAAGCAAACCTAGAGCTCTTTGGTTCCTGAATCTGCGTCACGGGGAGAGTGAAAATTTGTCGGAGGGAGAGCTTTGGTCAACGAGAAGATTTTGAAGCCAAAACACCCACCAGCCTTAGCATGAGTATGATTTTATCGGTTATCACTCTGACGAGAAAGGAAAATATGATAGCATTGTGACCTTCGGATGACATAGAGGTAAACAAATGATCCCCGCATGTGAAATGCAATTAAAGAAATTGCTGTAAAAAAGCATAAAAAAAATAGGCTTCATGGTGAATCAAACTCGTGCCTTCCAGATACTAGTCTGGCGCTATTCTACCAACTAAACACTAAAGCCACGCACAAGACGCGAGAAAAGTTTTACTAGATTCTTCGTTAATTTAAATGAATTGCAAAAAGAAGCCAGAAAAATTCAGATTTTGATAGAATTCGAACCTGTGCATCCCAGACACCAGTTTAACGCTATTCACAACTGACCCACGAAATCATGCATTGGAAGCCAGGTTAAATTTTCTTGGTTCATCGTTCGTTCATGGATAAAAAGTTATATTTAAATTGTCAAAAAAATCGTTTCAAACAATTCCTTTTTCTTCAAGGGTTCGGTATCCGATAATCACATTTTTTTTCTTTTGCCATTACGGTAGGTCTACTGTGACATGACAACAGACGGTAGAGGCTGGACTCTTATCGCCCGATTCTCAAATTATGACGTCAAGAACTGGATGGCTGATACCGGATATTGGTGGTACGACCGGCAAGTTGCTGCTGGAAATGCAATTAGTCCCTTTACAAACGCTGACGTGATCTCACCAGCATTTTGGTTGGTCAGCGCCAGCGAGATTAAGATTACACGCAGTGACGACTCCAAGCACACCCCTCTGTTACAGACCACAGGTAACTGTTTGCGAGGACAAACATTGGAAGTTGCATGGTTCAATATGGCGGACATTACAAGTCAACAGATGGGTTTCAACAGGCTGAGTGCAATGGAGATATTCAAAGTGCTGACAAGATCGGATTCTGGTGTAATTGGGATGCTGGTGATGGATCAGTGATGATGATTGGTGGAGGAGGAAGAAGCTGTGCACGTGCTGATCATGGGATTGGAATCACAGAAGCTAACCAAGCCTCTTTTAAAGACCGCGAACAAGGTGAAAATGACTTTGGTTCTGATGCTAACAGAAGAAGCGCTCCATCCCAGTCCTACTCGTTGAACTTATGGATCCGTTAGGAATAATCAGCCCCACATTTTTCAAACTTAGTTCAGAACTGAAGAACCTTGTAAAGGATGGCTTGGGATCCAAGTCAAATAAGCATTTTAAAATGATTAGTAATAGCGCAACACTAAGATCGTTAAACATCTTTAGATCTCCACTGGCAACAAATTATTTTCCATTAGAATTTCTATGCGAAGACAACATCCAGCAGAATTCATTTAACTCGGACTCACAACTCATCTTTTCAAGGAGATGTGAAGTATTCATTGACGATTGTTAATATTATGGCATATGAATGCAAATATTAAAAA